GGGTCCTCCGGAGGACCCGGTCTGTCGTTTTGGACACAATAAGAGTGTTTATCTGGGAGGGGTGCTGTTGGATAGATCACATGTTGTGATTCATTGACAGTCATACCTTCTGCTGTTCAACATAATGATGACTGGTAGATAATTAGTTATTAGTGGTACTGCATTTTAATTTTAGAAAGCGCAAATCCGCTTATTAATTGTAAAAATTTGTAAGACCGCTAAAGCGCAAATTAAATATTTAGGTCCGCAATTAGCAGATTTGAGCTTTAGCGGACTGGTGCCCACCACTGCAAACATCCAACAGAACCATGCTGGACCAGTAGGGACATTTAAAACACAACAAAAGAACTTTCTGAGAATTGTTGGTGAAAGAGACCTGGAACAACAGTGTACCTGGGGATACTGAGCAGGTAGTCCAGTGAGGCACTCAGTTCCTCCATACTGGTCTGATCTGAATTGAGGGGGATGGACAGAATCAGACCACTGCGACGGTCTTTGCCCCCTACCAAGAGACAAACTGGTGGTTAGATTTCTGATGACTGACGGCCGACACTAAATAAACACAAGTATGTACCTGAGAGAAAGGCCAGTTTCTTTTTGAGGATAGGAAGGATGGAGTTTGCTTCCATTGTAACGCTGGACACCTGCAAAAACAAGTACACAGAAAAGTTTTAAAAAACTGTCCACAAGACTTTTTTCATTTTTTAACCAACGTTCATWACAGCATCGTGTTGGAAAATGTTGCATTTCCATCAAAAATGTGCACAAAACTTTATCGATATTCTGCTAATGTCGAAAAAACAGTTTTGCAAATGCGGTGTAACAAAATCATGATCAATAAATTGGAATTCTGAATAAAATAGCAGAAAAACAGTTGATTCTCTGCTAAAAGTTTTATTCTCAATCTGAATTAGGCCTAAGCAGCCAGCAGCAAAGAGGCCTTAGCCTTATCAGAACCAAAACAATAACAAACCCTCACAGGAACCCAGCCTGTCCCAGGCTGATCTAACGCCTGTTTACACGATACCGGTCTCTGAAAAGGCTAATGTTTACTGGGACAAATACACTCAAAAAATTAAAATCACCCGTTTAAATGGAACTGCTGCAGAAATGTACCAGGCAGGGTTACCATGTGGAACATAGTGATGTGGACCGGGACTGGTCTGGACTCAGTGGGTCCTCACCAGCCTGTCTGTATCGGGGAAATCATCAGACACCGTCCCCATCAGGTAGCAAAAACACACACACACACACACACACACACACACACACACACACCACCATCCGCCTTCAGTCAGAAACATTAACCCTTTAGATGCATTAAAATGTAGGTAAACCTTATTTTTACAGTGATTAGAAGAAAGTTTTTCTGTTTGATTTTATTTTACATAATTGATATTTTGTATCTACAAAAGTTAGTTTGATTAGAACAAAGAAATATGTGTATTTTGAATAAATGTTACAAATGGGTGTTTTTTTAATTTTATTCTTTTTTTAGGCATGCAAGCTCTTTACTCTTTATACATATTAAAGAGAAGATAAATACAAACTTTACTGGCCCAGAGACTAACTACAGATACAATCAGAATAAGAGTCAGATCATTTTAAAATTTAAAACCCTAAAAAGATGTTCTTGGATGTATTTTGATCTGCAACATAATAAAGGTTCAAGAGTTATTACATTAGGAGCTTGAATCAGAGCAGCTGAGTTTTTTTCCACACCTCTTTTAATTGCAGAAACCACATGTGAGCGCGGTAAGTATGGA